GGTGCTACCCCCCCCCCCCGCCCCCCGCTCCCTAATCGAACATTGTTGGATAATCAGTTGGATTCATGCCCAGTGGTTTTTTCTCATGGAATGACTTCCGAATGACATCATCATTTTAGTTCATTATATGCATCATTTTTTTAAATATTCACTATGGATGTTATTTCAGATTTTGTAACTGGGATTTGGACCGAAATTAGGCTGGGAACTGGGATTCGGTTTCACCATTCAATCCTTTTTTAATCAAAGCCAAGAATACCAAATACTCAGTGTTGAAACAAGGCCAACAATGTTGCATCCAACAATGTCGTATGATGCTGAATAAACATGCTAACCCTGTTTGAACGTGTTGACAGATATTGGAACTTGGAAGATGTTAGTAGACCCGCTTTGACTTTGTTGAATTTATAAAATTTTCATCCAACATTGTACAACACTTGACCGGATTACGCGTAATCATTTATAGCATTTGACGATTGTATATGCTGTCGCGTGATTATTGAACACGCTTTCCCAAAATCTCAAACGGTCGATGTCAGTGTAGCGACGATAACAGCCACCTCCGGTGTGAGAGAGATACTACTATACCTGAAAAATATAAGCAGAACTTCGACGTTTCCAGCGAAGGCATTTCATCGGGAAGATCCTTCATCAACGCAATGTCGCTCGAAACCTCGAAGTTCTGTTTATATTCCGGGTAGTGGAATCCCTCTCACATCACATCATCTCCCATACGAAACCAATCACTTCAATAAAAATACAATATTTTTTCAAACTTACAGTAAAGGTGATAAACTTGTATCCCCAGAATGTTTGCTCTTCGCTCAAAGATACAACATCATCCTAAATATTATTTTCGAGTTCCGTTCACTAGCTTTATGATCGGAATTTGCGATAAAGTGAGAACACTCAAAAATTACAATGATTGCATAGCAGGAGACTCGTGATTATTCAAATTTTATGAATATTTTTTACTTTTGACTGCTCACATAAGTCAATGCGAAACATTGTTAGCAATTGTTGATCGTTATTACAATTTGAACCTGTTTTGAATTTCTTCTTTCGCTGCAGTCGCAAAAGGGAATAGATACAAAGTGATATTATCGTATTCAAATGAATGCAAGGCCCAAAATTTGAGGGTTTTTTATGATTATTTTCACCACTAGCAACCTCCCACGCACCAAGTCACTTATAAGTCGAAACAATTGACCTACACTTACGAAACCGTTTGTGGAATATTTCTCAACAGAGACTGAATCTAAGCAGGAGTACATCTTGAGAAGTACATAATATCTTTTCTTCCGTTTAGATAGAATGCCTGTTAAGAAACCTTCAACAAAATGTTGTATGCATCGCCGCTTCCAACACTTGACCGGTTGACCCCCACAGTTTCAAAACATATACTTAAATTGCTCATACCACCTAGATTGCAGGCTAACTTTCTTGCGGAGTCTGCCTGCGTGCAGGCTATTTTTTACTCGGTATCCGCGAAAATGCGGCGTCATATATAGACCTTCATCCGCGACTGCATATATGACACGTTCTGTGTCGAGATTAATTGCAGTTGAACTGTAACATGTAGCTGAGTAACCCATTAAGTTACATTGCATCCTGGTGGGCCCTACTTTATTGTTTTACTCTGTCTAACGCCAGATTATTTTACTTACTATTTTTTGGTAAAGTAAAGTCATTAAAAACGTCAGGTAAATCATTAGTACATTTGCAACGGTACATAAATGAGCGCTAGCTGGTTAGGTAACCGTTTATTTTGAAAGTATTTAAAATCTTTACATCATTGAATAGTGGTTCTGTATATGTTCTGTCTATGATTTGAATTTTATTCATCGAATACTCTTTCTTTGGCACTCTTAATAACTTTTCAATTTTTGATGGATATGAATTGCCCCAGTATTACCCCATGCTAAATTACCATACTGTACGTGAGGTATGGATAAGCTAAAGCATTGGTCGATTCGAAAACTATAACTACCACAATTTTGCGTTGTTTTCAATTTTTTGTATCGCCAGGCTAAATAAACAATTTTTCAACACAGACTGTTATTTGAAACAAAGAGTAACAGTTTAAGATTGAAACAATCTATGCAAATGAAATTATTCGTCTTTGAAATGTGCAAAAAGCACCAAAACGAGGCTAGTCAGGCTTTTTTGTTAAATCTAGCAGAAACTTCCGCATTTTTAAAATTTAATTTTTCAAAGAGAATACATGGTATACTGTATACTATATTGATTTGCACTTTGTAAAACTGTTAGTCTTCAGGTATTTTGTAAGGCATCAGTTTTGTAAGGCATCATCTTGTAGTAAGTAACTAGTAATAACTCGGTATTTTTCGTATCCTCCTATACCGTAAACGCCCGGATATAAACCCTCGATCATAAGAATTTCTTAATGGGCTTGAGGGGGAGGGGGGGCTTATACTGGGAATGGCCTGGCGCCTTTTGTTAGAAAGGTGTTTAACTTAAACGGTGTTTAGCCGATATCCGACATATAAATTCCTATCCGACGGTTAATTAACAGCCAGATAAAACTGCGTTGCACAAAGCCCGTTTAGTAGCGCGTTTAACTTCTACTGATCAAAGCGATCAGGTGAGCGAACAAAATTTCGGCGTCTTGTTGTCTATATTTACTTGTACACTTGTTTAAAAAGCGAAAAGTCGAAGTTTTAAGTCAACTTAAGGCTGATTTCCACTGTTGCGTTTTTCATACGTACGTATACGCACGTAAAACTTCAAATGTTACTTATCAAATAACCGAATTTATTATTAGCATGACAAAATTACTGGATGCTGATTCATTAGATCTTGAGGAACTATATGAAAATACGAAAAAAGAACCTAATTTTGCTTTAAGGTCGCTCCTTACAGTTATAGTCCAGTTTAAAAAAATTATATAGCTCAGACGTCATCCTCGCGACTCGCGCGTGGAATCTTCGTGGCCCGGTAAAAATCTTGAAACAAGCCGCGGGAAGTCGTTTGTGTATTTTTATCTACAAAGAAAACGCCAGTTTTTTATTATAGTCCTAAACTTTCAACATGAACAGTACGTATGTTGTTAGCTAGTTTTTTACCTACCTTCAGTTTGTTTTTTTATATATTTATACGTTCACTACTGTATTTCACAATGCTCACAATGACATGATATTTTATACTGTCTTCAAGGCACTCCTGAACTGTCACTGAAACTTACGTAAATCCTTTTATTCAACTCAGTTCACATGTAGTTTTTTATCTGCTGAATCCGATAAAACTATAATGCAGACAGTTACGAGTTGTTTTATATGAAAAGTCAAACTCTACTTCGCTCTACTTGAATGTTTTGAAAAGTTTTCACATCGATTTTCACAACAAAACTAAATTTAAGAAACGTTGCCTAAGTCAGTGCGTTATTGTGTTCTCAATTTTTCGTATTTTGAACATGTATATCTTTTATTTTCTTTGCAAATAAGTAAAAAATATCTGTGTTGTACATATAAACCAAAAACTCAAAGTGAAAATTGCTAAAAAAAGGCAACTATAAACCGTACGCGTTTCGTGTTCCTCACGCATTATAATTTACACGCATGTGCAAATAGTGATCATGTCGAATCGATATTTTGTCACGTCAACAGCTTCAACTGGATTTAGGACTATTTTTCTCGCGTTTCCTTCGGTGAAAATTTTTTAAACTTTGCACGTTTGCTAAGCATGACGATTTGCCAAACATATCAAAATTTCAAGAAATTCTATAAGACAGATTTTTTGTGGTCGTTATTCATGAATATCTCAAAACTTGCCTTATAAACATCCCTTCAAATTTTAATATGTCATTCCCCTTTCAACCATAAATCTTAAAAAAAAAATTCAGAAAAATTGACCGAAGGAAAAAAAGATATTGCCGTTTGATTGTAAAATTAGACAATAAAAGTGCAAAAGATGAAACGTCATGGTTGCCATGGCAACACTAACACTGTTCCTATTTGTTCATATGTCGACAGCAGAAGACTTCTGAACTTTCCTGGAAATGATTATATTGCCCTGTCTTAAGTGTGTTCAATATAAATTTGGTTCAAAACGAAGGTTACCTGAAATACTTAAGATTTTAGAAAACTGTAGGGAGCCACCTTAAGCTCTTTCAAATTCTGTCATTATGATTTGCAAGCTTTAAATATGTTTACTTTATGGTTTGCGACTGCGTTAGATGATAACTATTTGAACAAATAAATACCGCCGCCTAAAAAGCGGCATAGACTAAAAACATCCAATGACAAAAGAGAAAAAATCAACAAATATTGATAGACAAAAAATGCTATTAAAATAACATTAAACAATTGCAGATACATCATTAATATGATGTATACAGTTCCAAATATTTCCAGTTTCGAGAATTTCGCAGTAATTTTTTTATTATTTTTTTATATCGAATAATGTTTGGGGGGGAGCAAAAGCTATCCCGCCCCCCTTATAAAATATTGGGGGGCGCCCGCCCCCCCCCCCTGCTTCCTACGCCCCTGTACTAGTATTTCGTAAAATAAACGTGTAAAGAACCCCTATTACACATACGCGGCAAAGCCAACCGCACAGTGGGTTAAAGGCTCATTCAGAACATGCCATGTTAAGTCAAACCTAATTCAACATTTTCCAACATCAGCCGACTTTACCAAATATATGTTCAAACAGACCAAACAATGTTGCATCCAGCAATGTAGGATGATATTGGACTGGTTTGAACGGCATAAAAAAAACCAATTTCGTTCACGGCTCTCCCCTTTTCAATAGAACTGCATTACTGCAGCAATGGATTGTACTGCTCTTAATGGGGATTTAGGATTGGCTGCATGCAAATTGATCATGACTGCTCATTCACAAATAAAAGTGTGACACAATACTTAATAATTAAAATTAATTATAATACTTACCTGGGCTCCCTTGGAACCTTTTGCACCCTGAGCACCTTTTGGACCAGCATCACCCTATAATAAAAATCTATTACTATGCATAACAACTTTTATAATGACGTCATAATGTCAGTCGACTGAGTAAAGGTAACGTCATTCATTTCAATTTTTTTACGATAATTTCCAACGTACCCATGTTTATACTGCAACCAAAGTTGGTTAATTAAAAGCGGTCATAAATTATGGCACGCTTCACATGTTAATTTGTACCTGCGCGCAATGTATACCTGCGCGCAATGTATATAATTTTTAAAGTGCATATCTTAACAATCGGTTTCACACAATCGGAAATGCAGTAAGGCAAAAATCAGCCCGATCGATACCGATTATCGGTCAATTACTACATTATAAGCAGCTATTCAGGGGAGATATTAAAACAATTATTAAGCGATTTGAGGCAGAGACATTGCCGGATTCTTCGATAGAAGCGCAGCTGGAGTCAAAAAAATATGAATTCTTTGCATTTTGTGTATTTAACATGTAATCCATGGCAAATAAAAAAAATTAAGAAATTTAATTTGCTTGACCTTACGAGTGCCGATATTTCTAAAGTTCATCATGATCTGCCCAGTAACGGTTACTGAAACGCGCACAGTTCTTTACGGTAAAAATATAGAGGGCGTGACTAAAATCTTACCGTCTCCCCAGATTCACCATCCACACCAGGAGAACCATCATAACCAAGATTACCAGGAGGACCTGGTGGTCCAGTCTTACCATCTCTTCCAGGTTGACCACGGTTACCCTGAGAAAAAAGTAATTTAAGCGTTAGGGTAGGGTAGGTTCGACATTTATCCAAGTCATACTATTATATGAAATAATTTGCTGAATTGTCAAACTTCCATGATTGAAAAACCTTGTTAAAACGTTACTAAGCTAAACGACTGACTGAGTGAATAAAATAGTCATAGGTTACCCACGTGCATATTTTCCCCAGAAAATCGTCCCTTTAAACCTCTCAAGGCTTTGAGTGATCAAATTGGAATTACCTTAGCTCCAGCCAATCCGTCATCTCCTGCAATGCCATTTAATCCAGGTGATCCCTAGAACATAAAACATTTTGTTCTTTATTCTTCAAATCTTGGATGCTCAATCTTCATGATGTGTACCTCTTCTACATAACTGTGGATTACTTCGACATAAAAGGCACCAATTGCGTAAACGGACTTGACATACCACAGGCTTAGAACAATGCAATTTTTTAAAATATATTTTTCTCTCCTAGCCCGCAAAATGCAAGCTCTCTTCCGCGCTATTCAACACTGAGCTATATATTTACATATGTAATGCTATATGTTGCTCTCCAATAAGACATGGTGTAGGCTTCTGTGCATAAACCGCAGACTTGTCGCATAATCACAGTGGCGGATATTTTATATAACGCGCTTAAAAAGGCAATAATGTTTCTTTGTTTTATCCGTTAACGTAACTATATGCAAGACAGCAGGAGAGCGTTAGTGGTTGTGAAGGAATCGTAGAATAATTAATATACACTTTTAAAAAAATGGAAGAATTTGTGGTTTGCACATGAATTTCTGGACAACAATTATTTGTTGAAAAACAAAGAGTACCCTGATTTGAATAAAACAATAAGTAAGGAGTTCGGAGTTTTTAAAAATTCCCTCCTAACAACCGTTGCTGTGGCAACAATGACGTTTCAAAATGGCGGATATTTTTGGTTTAAAGTAATTTAAATCGAAAATAAGGTCGGTGACCCCCATTTTTAATTTTATAGCATGATTTCTTTTAGTATACTGAATTATTTTCGTGATTTAAGGTGGCTCGATATAGTTATCACTAAACATTCCGCTCAAGGATCGCGAACAAAACCGGGTGACCATTTTTACGCGCAAGTCGCGGAAACTGATTAACAACAAAATGAAAGAACTTCCAAAAATGACCTGGAGTGAGCAGTTGCTCGCACCATGTCACGTCATTGCGCGTGTTCTATAGTGTTTTATGTCAATTGCTGACGTCATTAGAATTAATTGCTGACGTCATTAGAATTTTCCATTTTACAAAAACAATGTGCTATATCTCTCTATTTTGTCTGGTGACCTATGTTCAAATTTTGCATGCTGTATTGCACCGCTGAAAACTTTCATTATATAAAAAAAATTCTGTAATGCCAAAAACATTTTACCGAAGAATACGACACTTTCGCATTTTCCAAGAAATGGCATTACAGAATTTTTTTATATTTGGCTAATTGTTAGCTTTTCTTCCAAGTAAAATAATGCACGAAAACAAATTGGGGGTCACCATGCTTCTTTTCCAACTATACGAGGCGATAGGCCATTTTGGAGTGAATTTCGTACACGTATGTGGTCATAGCAACGAACTATCTGTTACTAAAACTAATATATTTGAAAGTAGAGATATCAAAATATATAAAACTCCCAATATCTGCTGAATAAACCCTAAAAATGCGTAGTTTGAACATGCAAAGTGTTGAACACCTGAATTTTTGAAAAGTGTATCGAGCCACCTTAAAAAATGTACTTTTCGATTTTTTTAAAAATCATAACAAATAACTAAACGAATTCTTCTTATGAAATAAAAAATGGGAGTAACCGACCTTATATTTTCAAGTTACAGTAAATAACTTTAAAACCAAAATATCGGCCATATTGAAGCGGAATAGGATTTTTTTTGTCTTTCAAACATATAAGATTTGTTGAAAAATTGGGTCTAAATAGGAGCATTCGATTTTCTAGTAAACGTGGTGAATGGGGGCAGATTTTATAACTTCAATTTGTAATACTTAAGAGGAGAATCTTTTGTATGTTACGTAACACGCGCTCAAAACTATAAATTAATATATTTTTTCATTGTTATGACTATATTCAATTTAAAATTTTTGATAGTTCCTCAAGCGCCGGCAAACAAACTTAGCTAAAAAGTTTGTTTAGTGCATTATCTGTAAATTATGCTAAAATGAAGAGATTTTGGATGGTACGCCAAAGAGAAAATGATGTCTGAAGTTCAGTAAGTTTTACTTATATATGTCAATTGTACAGCATCAATGATAATTACATTTAAATTGACAATATTTAACTATTATTTTGTGTTTCTCAACCGCCAGATAGATTTGAAAAGGTTGCTAACTGTGCAAGGCCAAAAATATTTTAGGTTATGAACACTTTTTATCGCAAATACGTGACATTGAAAAAATTGCCTCTTAATCAATATCATCAAAATAGGGCTAATGCAATGTATCTCTACTTACAGTTGGTCCAACTGGACCTCGATCGCCACGGCTTCCTTGCAGACCTGGACCTCCCTGAAATTATGAAAACTGTTATCAGAATAATTTTACAACTATTGCCAAATTGCGAAGTAATTAGGTTGCCAATCTAATCGCGTCCGCCTGTTGCTAAATCCTCTGCAGAACAGCAAGACAATACATTTCCTTACAAGGATACCCTGTTAATACAGTCACATGATTAACACGACCATATGATATTTGTGGCCTGTTCTTGATCGTATTACCGTAACGAAGTTCCACTGTACAGTGCATTTTTAGGTTATAGATTCAGGTCTCGATGTTAGAATCAATGGTTAGGTAAGAGTAAGAATTAGAGTGAGTATTCAGAAACAGCGAGACATGTATCTATAATCATTTCTTATACAACCGGTTCTGGATGTGTGATAAGAGGATATACAAGTTTTGTAGGGATAATCAGTGACTTACAGGTCTTCCACTGGATCCAGCATCACCTTCATCACCACGTTCTCCTTGTTCACCCTGAAACACAAATATTGCATAGTTAATTAGAAACTAGATTGAGTTTGGAAATATCACTTTCCTGAACCAACTTGACCGTAGAGCGTTGAACTAGTAGTAGGTTCAATAGTCGTGGGTTCGATCCGTGGTCAAGCAATTTTTTCAGCTTGCCTGGTGTGGAGACTCTCAGAGTAATTTACCATGACTAGGTTGTTCAAAAAATACTAACGCCTCACCAATGCATATATATGTCTTATTATCAATCATAAATACCATTGTAGGTATGCTGGAGGCGAATGATCAATCTGAACGATTTTAGGCAAAGACAGGCAATTCGTCCGAAAATTCGTTTGTGTATAAACGCAGCAAACAGACGGAGCAGCCACCATGCATCAAGACGTTTCAAGTTTTGAAAACTTACTGGTCCACCAGGAGCTCCACCCATTCCTGCTTCACCTTTATAACCTTTGTCGCCCTGAAACATAACAAAGAAAATATTTGGTACATATATCCATTTGTAAAAACATCAACAAGTAAAAGCACTAAACATGTGTTTACACGTGCAGGCCTTGATATCCCATACTTGCGCTCAAATTACAGGGCCCATATTTAAAAATCAAGGACTGTCTTCTACATATAACAGATGTTAGACATAAATGTTGTTCGACTGGAATTGTTATGTATGGTAGAGCACATATAGCAGATGTGCCCGAAGTTAAAGTGTGCTTCTCATGTGTAAAAGATTTCTTACATGAAAATTTTAAAGAGCATTATAACAACGCCTAATAATATACATGAAAAAATTTCTCACTTCTGATTGGCTAAGAGCAGTGCATGCATTTTTTTCGAAATATATGCATACAGTGCCAAAAAATGAAATACAGTGCAAAAAAAAAGAATGTAATAAATTAATATTTTAAATTTTCTTAATTTTTTATTTTTCAAATTTCTTAATTTTCTTAACTTCTTGACTTCTAAATGCGACTACGTACATGACTGCATAATTTTTCATGTATATTATTAATAAGTAATAGTATTGTTTCTCGTACAATTTGAAAAAACATACACTCGTGAGTTTTTCAAAGACTTCAATAGACCTTTCCCTTTTTAAGTGAAATTTTGATCTAGACAAGTCTGAGCAAAAATTTCATCACTGCTTGAAAGAGCATCGCAAAACTAGTAATATTCCGAAGTTCCGTTGCAAAATGTTGTAAAATGCGGATAATATAGCCTGTCGAAGTTTGCCGTTTTTCAGTCATTTTAGATTACAAACGGGAAATTGATAATCAGATGATCAAACTGATTATCAATTTTCCATTTGTAATACAAAATGACTGAAAAACGGCAAACTTCGCAAAGCTATATTATCCACATTTTACAACATTTTGCAACGAAACTTCGGAATATTACTAATTTTGTGATGCTCTTTCAAGCTGTGATGAAATTTTTGTCCAGGCTAGTCTAGATCAAAATTTCACTTAAAAGGGGAAAGGTCTATTTTGACAGTCTTTCTTTAAACTCACTCGTGCATGTTTTTTCCAAATTGCACTCGAAACTATACTACAACCAATACAAATTTCAATCTTAAATACAGTAGAATATATACAGGGTGTATAAAAAAAAGGTAATGCAACTTTGACAGGTTATCGTGCGTTAATTATTACGTTACAGGTTTTCTGTTTTCGTATTTATAAAGATCAGGCTTTTAGCTTCGTATTTATAAAGATCAGGCTTTTAGCTGTCAAATGACACCTTTATCGAATCATTGCGATAGAATAGACCAAATACGATCTGAGTTAAAGTGGTCGATTGAAATCGCATTTTCCACATTTAGAATTTAAATGTTCTTCAAATATTCGAAGCATTTGCCCAAATGTTTGTTGCCTATTTGGGAAACGTATGGTGTTGTGAGTTGAGTCTGAAAACGTGCAGTTTTGTAAAATGTTCTAACCACTCAATTTCAATGCAAAATTTCGAGTGGGAATTTACCAAAACTTACATGCTCACACATGCGTTGCTTTATTCAAGCGACTTAAATCCCAAGTGAGAATAATTTCAATACTCAGACAATAGATGATTGCAGCTTTCTAATAATTTTTTACCTAGACAATAAAGACGAAATATATCATTATAGCTCAAAAGAGCATCGTAAAATTAGTAAAATTGCAAAGTTTCGTTGCGAAATGTTGTAAAATACGGAAAATATAGCCCTATGAAATTCGCAAATTTTTTGAGTATTTTAGTATTACGCGCCAACGCGCGGTAAAAATAATCATTTTTGAGTCGAAAGTGGGTACTAAAATACTCAAAATTTGCTAATTTCACAGGGCTATATTTTCCATATTTTACAACAATTCGCAATCAAACTTTGCAATTTTACTAATTTTAAGATGCTATAATGATATATTTCGTCTTTCTTGTCTAGATAAAAAGTTAGTCGACAGCTGAAATCATCCATTGCTTTACATACAATTCCCAACGGTGGAATAATCTGATTTCGAGCGGCATTTTTAAATTGTATCGTATTTGTTTATTTTTGATCGCAATGATACAAGAAAGGTATCATAGTAAATGGCTAAACGTGATAACTCATATATAATATAAATTGACATGCCAAAGTTGGATTACCTGTTTTTGATACAGCGTGTCTATTGTACATCAACTCACCTTTCCACCCTTACTACCCCGGTTACCCTTGGGACCGTCAGGTCCTTGTTGTCCCTGTAATAGATAATATTAGTAGTTAATGTAAGAAGTTATGAAATAAAAGCGAAAGGTGGTGTTGATGCGATATCAAGTATCTATACACTTTTCCAATCTAGATACTTTAGGCAGTGTCACCGATTTTGACCCTCGCAAAGTCTTGCACAAAACCTAAAAGAATGGTTGTAAGCACAACATAACAAATACAAAAAGCATGTACAATAACAAATACAGAAAAACAATAACAAATACAAATACAGAAAACAATAACAAATACAGAAAGCATGTACAGAAGTCTGCATGGTTGAGATTAGGTGAGGATTGACTCATTGAGATGGATTGTAAATGACATCTTGATTAATTGTTGGCGGACACTTTTTCAAGTTTTAGGTCAATTCGTATATGAACACGTCGTCTTACATGCTGTGTGGAAGTTCAAAGATGATTCGTATATCATAACTGAACCTATTTATAGTGTTTATTTTTAAATTCGCAGGTCAGACTTTGAATAAAAGACATTTTTGGCCAAAAATTGGTGACACTGCCCCTTTAATCTAAATCGCGCTCTCTACAGATCGTCTGGTATTTGCTTCCAATATCTGGTATCCAATATTGACCTACTGTCAAGTTTCGTAGTATTTCCGGCTCCATACATGACTAATATTAACGAAGGCGCTATTACTGCAGTTCTTTCTGGAAACTTTGAAGTCAACAAAAACCTGGCTGAAATTCCCTTGTACCTTCTTTATAGATAGATTGATCTTAGTATAAAATATAGATTGCTACTCAGCTATCAAGCTCTTGGCAAACCAGGAAGCATTGATATCTTTCAATGCTTGACCACCCTCTGCAGGAAATATGGCTTGGAAACAATGTGTCTACAGCAGTGAACTCTAATAATAACTGGAAGGCTAACTCCTATGATGAAAGTCTATGATTCGTTGAAGCCGGCGCGCGGGAAAATCAGCTTTCAAAAGGACTAAGGAGAGTTTCGAGGAGTGAAAAAAAATTCTGTTAAAAGTTTGTTTTCGAGCAAAAATTTGCAAGAAAAACACTTTTCCCATGGGAATACAACAATGATTGGGATTTAAACCAAGTTTCCGATTAGTTCCGACTGTTTTACATCTCTCTGCAGCAAAAAGTAAGGAATTTTGCTTTTGTATTTTGAAAAAATGACGAAAGTTTGGACGTGCCGAAGGAAATCTCGCCGTTCAACTCAAAAATATATACTATAAAACATTTTGACAGTCCCAAAACTTATGTTGTACTAAACCCCAGGTATTGTTATTGATCCTGAGCTTTTAGTCCTTGTTTTAGTCGCTCTTAAACATAAATAAATTGGCGTTTTTCAAGTGATGTTATTTTCGTCATCGGCATCTTGTTGGCCACTATGAGCACTTTGAATATGGCAATATTTTTGTCAATTTTCAAATGCTTTTTTTTTCGACCTTAAAACGTTAAATCTTCTTGAAACTTCGCATACAGATGTATTTTGCATGGGTATAAAAAATTCCTGAGGTATGACGTCTTAGTTTTATCTTAAACTTCCAAAAACTCAGAAAAAGCAGCCTAAAACGCGCGGTTTTTCAGACCGTTCATGCTTATGGTCGTGTTTTTCGCATTTTTTTTTGCTAATTCGTGATTTGTTTGCTTTGCGAATATTAAATTCATTTATCATACTACTGATATAAATTAAATTTGGTAGTATAACTAATATTTTGGGGCAAGATTTTTCTGATCAAAAAATGTGCATATTTTGAAAAAAAAATTTAAAAAGGACTGGGTCTACCTACAAAAAAAGCTTCAAGCACGGCTTCAACTTCCCCCCCCCCCTGACTTAGCCTTCCAGTTATTATTAGAGTTCACTGGTCTACAGTACTAGATAGGTTCATTAAAATGTAGTACGACATACCGGTGATCCTGTTTGGCCTTGATCTCCTATGATACCTGCATTACCTGGGACACCCTAAGAAGTAAACATGGGATAAATAATGATCACAATTTAAACTCGCGTGATACTAATTTTAGTCTGAAATTTGCGCGATTTAATTTCTCGCACACAATAGATGCGATACTTTCGAGCAGTTCCAATTTTGCACATTAATAACTAGAAAATCACATTATATTATGGTTTTTCGTTGCTAAAATTACATTGTAGACTTAAAATGTCCAATAAAGTTTGTTCTAAAATTTGCAAGGCATCTAAACTCGACATAAACTTCTTTATGTAACTGCAGAGTGCCAAAAAATCCAATGGCAAATACATTTCATACATGTCATAAAGAATAATGTTGGGTTTTTCTTAATTAACATTTTCTTTGTGTCACAAAGGCATAGGTTTACACCCAGATTTTTTCCGCCGAGTTATATTTTTGCCTAAGTAATTTTCAAAAACATTCTAAACTTACACGTGGACCACTATCTCCATCACCACCACGACTTCCAGGATCACCTCGTTCACCCTGTTGAATAGAAAAAAATCGTTTGTGTTCCTTTTCGGTTGGGAAACTATGCAGGCTGACTTCAGTTTATGGAAGTCCAGGAGGTCGGACTAATTCTAGCGTTGGCCATTCTGCCTGTTGATAACCCCTTTCTTCGCCAATTTGGTATCTTAATTTTCTTAGTTATTTTTTTAAATATTTATTTAAATGTAGAATGTGTAGGGAAATTATTTTTCAGTATTAAATGCTATAATAGCAAAAGGTCTTACCATGCATCAAGAATAATTCCAAACACTGATATTCTCGTGTAAGTGCTGTACTGAAGTGAATTAGGTTTGGAGGTCAGACAATGGTATTTGCATGTTTGAAGAACACTTCATTGGACCTATTCCCTGATAAATTTTTTGTCTAGATCAAAATTTTGTTCATTAGGGAATAGGTCCATTACACATGACGATAAACCGGTCCAATGGAAAATCCAACACATATTTTTGGGCAGAATATGAGGCCGGAGCGAACTAGGTTGCATCCGTTTGTTTGCCAATATCATGTTTTGCACACGAATATATTCTTCTTTGATCATGACTCCAACTACAACCCTATCCATAAACAATATTTTTGTTCGTCTGTGAAACATAAAGATGTAACTGCAAATTCCTCTCCCCTGTACATCTGATCGTGTTATCCATAGAAAGCTAAACATTGACAACAACGTAACCTGCATACCTGCAAGAATAACTGTGACATACCTTAGGACCGTTGGGACCAGCAGCTCCTTGAAGACCGGGATTACCGTTTCTACCCTGTGAGATAACAAAGCAATACATCAATACTATAACAAAAAATACATCAATACTAGTGTAGTCAGATTTGAAAGCAAACATATATCGGAAAGTACAGTCGAGCATCTCATTAATGGGCATTTTATCTAGTGACTAAATCTCTCATTAGCGGACGCTTATTGAAGTTTCCAACATTCAAAGTATACAAAGTTCAAGCCTTCTTTTCAGGATAAAATTCGACTACTTATTCCTCATATTTTGACTTAGAATTGTTAAACAGAGGCACGTATAGTTTTCCCAAGAGACCAACATGGGTTAAATTGCATAAGCGAAACTTTTTAACTTTATGAACAATGCATTTTAACCAAAATTAGACTGAAGCTTTTCCTGCAATTAAAAGTCTAGAGAGGATCATCTAAACTCTTCACCTTGAGTTTTCAAGCACAAAGTTTAACTCAGTGATGAAGGGGGAGTTCTCTGACACGACCATAAAAAATATTTAATATGGGATAAAATGCTTACAGGACGACCATCTTGACCAGACTTGCCATTACGACCACCATTACCTTTCGGACCCTAAAGTATGATAAATCCAAGGTTATTTTTATTTAAACATTTTTTAACTTAGTATTTGTCACAAACAGTAGAAGCATGTTGCCGTTCAATTATTACGTAATTCAATACAAAAATTCCATTTTTCAAATATCGATAACAGTTTTGAAAGCTCAATACTGCCAAACTTTGGTTATATCACGTTAAGTCAATTAATATGTCACTACGCGTTAATTAGTTACTGTAGTTACTAGTTAGTCGAGGCAGTGCACTGTTAAAGAAAATAATCATGATTTGAACGATTTAGAAAAAGCATTCCCAAACATTAAAGAGCAAATGTAAAACATCAAAATTGAAGCTCAAAAAATCAAACGTGCACTTTCAAGTATAGAGTTCGATTGTGAAACTATTTGAAGTTCACCAGCTTTCTTGATTATGTCTATTTTCTATCAGTTATAACAATGATGGTACATGATTATACCTATTTCATAGCAATTTGAGATAGTTTTTCATTACCCTGGGGGTGATACTGTAATGACCATACCTTGCTACCCTTCACTCCATTTTCACCCGACAGACCAGGTGCGCCGGGGGAACCCATTGGACCACGACGTCCCATTTGACCAGGATTTCCGGTGGAGCCGTGAGGTCCCTAAATAGTGACATTGTTCGTTAAACATTACCGCGAGAGTAATACCATTGAAATAATACTTTTTTGAAATACTGATAAATACGAAACAACTGGTAGACGTTTATTTATTTATTTATTTATTTAATTCGCCTTGTACATATTACAGTGGCAGGGAATCCGCAACAGGGTAATTGCCAATTACTGCGGGCAAGAAGTAATTGCCCTTAAGTTGGCTCCTTAAAGTTTACAATGACACGAAATCCCCCCCTCATTTTCATGCATCTCTTTATCATCTTGAACATTATGAAGATGGCATTAACAATTTATTCACAGCTCATCTCGTTCCCAAGTTATCGGGCATTTTGTATTTTTGTGTACGTCACAGGTTGTGTTTAAGACGGCATCAAAAAACGTCTGATATCTCAGAAGCGATTCAACAAAATTGAATAAAATTTGGTACAGTTGGTAAGTGTACCTAAGCAAACATTTAGTAATGTCTATTTGTTGTTGATGGCAACACACTAGTTGCCAGGTCTCAGTCAAATAGAGGAGAGACCTGGTCTCTAGTGTGTTGCTACGGCAACCAATAAACATTTCAAAATGTTTGTTTAGGTGCAAATATATAATGGGGCAAAAGATTTTTGTTGTGTTTGCTGCTAAAGGTTTTCCACCAGTTGGTTTTATTGGTGTGAAGATTTTACCACTTGCATGGTGATCACTCAGTCAACTGGGCAAACATGGTTAAGTATGGCGTATTACAGACTCACCGGTTGTCCATCAGATCCAGATTCACCTTGTGCACCAGGTTTTCCAGGTTGGCCCTAGAGAACATCAATATAAAAATCGTTTAACTATAAGAGTAAGATGCTGCTGTACAGAGGTTTATATATAACTGGTTTTGTAATCCTGTTCGTTTCTATCGACCCTTGGAAAAAGTTATCCTAAGAAAAGGGCTTTAAAGGTTGCGTGCTACGCAGTGGTATAACTTTACACTTGCCCGGGGGCAAAATTATCACGCACAAACAAAAGTTCATTTTTGATTGCCCAATCGGGTTAATCCAGGTGTCAATAAATGAGATAAACCAGAAAAAAGAGAACATTTTTAGAATGCTCAATGTAATTTCTGTCCATATCTGTAATTTCACAGCTTATTCCAACCAATCAGACGGCTGCCTTTGTGGACTGTCCCCTGGTGGTAAATAAATTTAATTCACGACTTACATTCCGTTATTGGCAGCCAAATAACAAAAAGTGAGTCTCTTTTACCTCAAGCGACTGAAACTATTTTCCATATCACAAACTGAACCAAACCCGGCAGTCTACTTCAAAGGTCAATATGTCAATTTTTAATCGTTTAACGATTTTGTCTTTATAAAAAATGTCTGGTAAAAATTGAAAATCAACTCTTGATCACGATTAAAATTTGAATTTTATTCTTTTGAATTAAGTAGGCATTATACTCAATCTTCTCAAGTCCTTTTTTCTTCACATCCCCCATTCATTGGATTGGGACAGGTATTCACCCTTCCAAAATGGGATGGAGAGGGCAGCGGGGCATAAAATCTTGCAGGTAACTAAATACATAGATATATCAAACATGTTTTTGTTCGCTACTTTATTTATGTAAATGCCCAGTGTAGTGTTGTCAATAGGAGTGATGTAAAGTCGCAACGCCGCTCCTTATATACTAGATGGATGACGTCACCGCTCGAAAAGGCGCAGATACTCTTGTAGAAAAGAGCTACTGTCACCTCTATTCAAAGCATATGATTCATGTGTATATGCGACGCTCTGGCCATAATGACTGTTACTGGAACTTTAACCAGAGTAGCGAGTGACAACAGGGGCGTAGGAAGCATCAAAAGATTGGGGGAGGGGGGGGGGGGCAGCTTCCAGGGGCACTTTTGGATAATGAAGAAAAGGGCACTTTAAAAATCTTTCAAACAAACATTTTCCGGTCATACTATACCGAATTGCAACGTACAATGAACGTTTTTGACTAAATTGTTTTGAAAACATCGAAATTTCCAAACAAAAAGGGGAACGTGTCCCCCTGTTCCTACACCCCTGAATGACAATATGCCAAATATTTAATCAGGTTGCCATGAACAGACAAACTATATGAATGTAAATATATAAAAATATATAATTTCAAATGCTTACCGAAAATCCACGTGCACCTTGTTCACCAGCTTCTCCTTGACCCCCCTAGTGAAGTTTAAAAATGAAATGTTAAAACATTGTTTGACTAAAACTTTAGATCAAAATTTGGCGGGAACTGAAGTGTTTTTTTTTATATGCAGTATGTAGTATGAAAGAAGGAAAAAACCTAATAAGTTTTTTAGACGTACTCTGGTTTTAAATATTTATCCAGTATGCGAGCTTTCGAAGATATTCTGCAGTCTTCAACGGGTAAAACAGTTCTTAAATACTTCTAATTTCTTCTTCAAAAACAATTGTTAGTGTTTACACTAATAATTGCTTTTATAGTCTACCTTTTGTAGTCTACCTTTGAACTGATTGACTAAGCTTTATAATTAAAATGAATGTAAACATAAACAGTTTGGTTTAAATTTACGTTTTAGAATCGAAGACGCCGAGATTACGGAGGAAAGGTTGCGATGACAACAGACGCGAATCCGAGAAATGATAAATTAATTAATTTTTCTCTAGATCTCACAGTAAACGCACCTTGAAGGCATTACAGCGGAAAGTTTAGTGCTAGATATACGAGTGGCTAATTTATTTATCATTTTTTATTCGCTCATAATTTCCTCCCTGCACCAAATCCTAATTATCGATTCATAATACATAATTATCGATTGACTAATCACGAATTGTCCCATCTTTTTTGGAAATGCATGTTTGAGTGCCACAAGTTTTATTAGCTTTTTAGCTATTATGTGTTTACCCTCTTGAAATAAAGATTTTAGTTGCTTACTTACTTACTTACTACGTTACAATACAAAATTTTGGTAGAAGGGTCTACTATGGTCGCCTCTTAGTCAGCTTCACTCACCTGTTCACCACGCTTTCCAGGCTCGCCGTCAGATCCTTGGTAGCCCTACAAATGATGATTGTACATGAGACAACATTGTGGTTGTGAGGAATGAAACGTGTGACAAATAACGTAAAAATACTGCGCGAATATAAACTATATTTCTGATGTGTCAAGAGTCAATTGGAATGAAAATGATGTTCTTTTCCTATGCCATAACAGTATGCCATTGTAGTGTCTTTGTGCAAATATTTTTGTTTAGTTTACATGGGTTTTTATTGGATTGTTCCTGCACTGTATACGAATTTGTTGTGATAATAGCTATTCCAAGCTAACACCTTGTTAGTTATATCATAACAAGATTATATGTTATATATTTGACTTGACTAAGGGTGGGCTGACCAGCCGGGCTTGCATGAATGTCGGGAAATTAGCAGCCATGTACATGGGGTACACCTGCATCACTGGAATTAAGGAGAGAGAAATTATGTGTGAATGTAATATATGTACTCACTTTGTTTCCAGGTGGACCTGTAGGGCCTTGAAGACCTTGTTCACCACGTTCACCCTGATAACATAAACATATATGCAGTTAGTATGAATACATCACCATATTCGTTTTAGTCCAAATTCAAGAGCATATAAAATTTATACTGATATATAAATATATATAGGAGGCATAAAAGAAAAAATATGTAAATTTAGCGAGTATAAGAGAAAGACTGATATATCGAAAAAAAGAAAGACATAATACGAAAATAGACACGTAAGGTTATAGTTATTACAACAGGACATAATGAACATACAGTGTTCCCTTAATAGTGACAATAAAACCTGACACATGGAAAAACAGATACCATGCAGTGAGAAACTAGAGACATGAATTCGGCTATAGTACGAATGTATACTAACACGAATATGTCCATTTTATAGAAAGTAGATAAGAACGTATATACTGTACCATACAAGATAACGCTAAGAATTTGATGCCCTCGACTCACCTGAGCTCCCTGAGGTCCAGTTTCTCCAGCCAAACCTGACTCTCCATCAGCTCCCTGAAAACAGGAAAAACATCAGTAATGCATCTATCGTAACAAATAAAACGACACTGTGAACTGATATTTAGTGCGCTAAGACTCCATAGGCACTTCCCACTAGTGTCAGCCATTGTGCAATTACCCCATCTCTTCAAGACGTAATATTTACAGTATCAAACTTAACGTCGCAAAACGTCTGCAACATGTTTTCTAATTTTCGGAATTTCAATTTGAGGACCGTGATTCTAGTGGATATACGGAATGCACAACTACAGCAGATCAAACCAGCACATTATCGAGTCACGTACATTATCTTTTAATTTTAATTTTAAAGTAACGCCAGGGTCCATAAGATACTTTTTTGTCTACTGAGACATAACTACAACTAGAAACTGTCTAAAGAGTAAAAGATTGATCTGCCACGCATCAAATACGAGGCACAAAAAGTTCAGGCAAGCAAGCGAGAGATGCCGGGGGCGAATCTCCTGTGACACCGGCATCTCACTCAAAGTTTTGAAACGTGCTCGATAATTCGGTTTCGAGAACGATACTATATATTACTGGAACTAAAGTTGGAATGAATCCTACATAATATATCTTATCTTATAAACTATTCAGCTATTTCGTTATGCCGTTGGTAACTTACATCTTCACCATCATTTCCGGGACGTCCCTGAGCGCCTACTACACCTTGGTCACCCTAAAACATATCATTTGTTGAAGAAATGTTGGTTAAAATACACCTAAAAAGCATTGCTTATCCTGCATACTAATTTACGTTTGTGTTACATTGTTAATAAGTATAAGCAATAAATATATATCAGGCTGACATGCTGGTTGTTTTGTAAGTACTGTGAATTACTAAAAATTTACCAAAAAACACCACCCATCTTGAAGTTATTTCTCCAAATTGTGCTATTGTATGACCAAGTTATTTGCTGTACTGGACAGTTTTTAAAATGTACAATAATTAAGATTATTGCAAAACAAACTGTTTCACGACTTATCCTTTCTCTTATTCACATGTAGCGAGAATCAGTGTGATCTAATGGTACTGTAAGTACAATCTATTCATGATTCACATAGAAGTTACACCAGACTGTGGAAAATGAACAAAATTGAATACTAACCTTCTCTCCCTTTGCACCATCAGCGCCAACCTCACCTTGTATACCTTCAGGACCCTAGAGTGAAACAAAATTGAGCAAATTCCAATGAATCGATAAATTGATCAATATAAATTTATTCAATAATTAATTGTCAATCAATCACTGGTCAACCAATCAATGCAGCTGTTCATCAATCAGCTAGCTAATAAAAATCTGAAAGTCAATCAATAGACAATTCCCAAATTTACTGGATTTCATTGTCCACTTTGATTTGAAGATATTGTTTCATATTTGAGAAAGTGTCTATATTACAGTGGATGAGATAAATATCAGTAAACTACTCAAGTAAATGAATAATTTACCTAACTAACAATGAATGAAACAATCAATTAACTTAGCCTAACCTGCTCTCCCTTGCGTCCAGTAGGACCAGGTGGACCAGGTGGACCAGCTTGACCAGCTACACCAGGTGTTCCAACTTGACCTTGATTTCCAATAGCTCCCTACGATACAGCACAATTACGTTAAACAACATAATTACGTAATACAACAAACATAACGCCTTTAGAAAGATTGATAAAGTCATCTAATGTTCACACTTCACATTATCAAATTTAATTACGAAAACAACGTTGATGAAGGTTTATTACGAAAGCAATACAGTAGCTTTGGTATGTTCCCTCTTCACTTTGCAAAATCAATCGTAAAACAACCGTAGTCTGTCATGGTAGAGGGTCTGGAAGCCTGCAAACATCAAAGCCACAAAATAGAAGATCTTTGCTTGATATTGAACTGTACCTCATCGGGCACAAATCCCTCTTAACTCATTAAATATTATGATTGTGTTTGCAAGTTTCACCTCGTCTATCCCAATTGGACGATTATTTATTATTAGACGAAAATACAATGAGCTCAATTGTCGTGACCTCAATTGTCGTGACCGTGCACAAATTAACATAACATTAGACAAAACACAACACAATGAGTTTCTTTCCAGACCATCATATCTTGATAGGCTATGGAACAACGTTGTACTTCATGCACTTGTGGCATGGTTTGCTATACAAATTTACAAGTGGGTACATGAAAACGTAAGCTTCCGCAGTGTTTACGACGGTCAGTTACAGCTCTGTATGTCTCTACTCTGTGTTATTTAAAGTTCGCAACCAGTCGAAATCCTCTTCTACACAAAATGTTTGATAATACATACCTGACTACCAGGTGTTCCATCAACACCATTTTGTCCAGGAGGGCCTGGGGTTCCCTAAAAATTTAACAAAGAGTTTGAACAAATTTTGAAGATGGAAATTTCAAGCAGAAGATTATATACAATTTTAGACTATGGGGCCTCTGTTTGGAATCGAACCTGCAGCCCTGTGATTCCGATGCAGGTTGATCAATGGACCTTCCCCTTTTGACTAAAATTTAGATCTCAACAAGCCTAGACAAAAATTTTATCACAGCTTGAAAGAGCATCACAAAATTAGTAATATTCCAAAGTTTCGTTGCGAAATGTTGTAAAATGCGGATAATATAGCCTTGCGAAGTTTGCAATTTTCAGTCATATTGTATTACGCGCGTGAAATACATACCTCCTTCGGAAAAAGGGTATACTGTATGTATTTCACGCGCGTAAAACAATATGACTGAAAATTGCAAACTTCGCAAGGCTATATTATCCGCATTTTACAACATTTCGCAACGAAACTTTGGAATATTACTAATTTTGTGATGCTCTTTCAAGCTGTGATAAAATTTTTGTCTAGACTTGTTGAGATCTAAATTTTAGTCAAAAGGTGAAAGGTCCATTGAATGTAAATATATTGAAAAGCTGGATGACCATTATTAGCCAATCCCCGAGCAACTGCACGGTTGATCGGACATTTGTCAGACCCAAGCGACATTGCTATAATCCACACTCCTAACCACCTTTCCAGACATATGTATGGAAACTCTCTTTAAATTTGCTTTTAATTAAATAAATCATCACCTAATACGAATGAGTAAAATCATCAATTGAGGCCAACAAGCTACTGTTTAAAATAATACTTTTATTCGTTCGAGCTGATATCATCAGAAATAGTTTCATTATATTTCATGGTTTTTGATGACAACAAAAGCTCAAACAAATAAAAATTTTATTTTAAACAATAGCTTGTTGGCGCCAATTGACTTCGTATTTAATGATATACTGAAGGACAACTTTAACTTTTTAATTATAACCAAATATTCATACTTACCCTTGCACCTGTGCTACCCTTGGGACCAGAGTCACCATCTCTACCCTGTAATGTTTTAAAAAAAGTTAAGCAGAAACGTAAAATACATACGCAATTCTTATTTTTATACATTTAATATGTATTCTCGTTTCTAATTGGTCAGAAAGCACCGGCTAATTTTCAGTATTCGGCATTTATTACGTATTTTCCACCGATGACGTCATCAGCGTCCAATAATTGTTTTTTTGGATCGAACTTGCATCCAAAAAAAAAATTATTGGACTCTCTCGTGCCCAAACCCTTGCGCGGCCAAAAGCTTGAACCTATAAGCGCGCGGAAAAAAACAAACAAACAATGGCCTACAGCAGATTTGCTTCGCTGAATGAAAGTGAACTCTCCAAATTATTGGCAGATAAGGATAGTGAAAGCACGAAAAAAGCCACAAAGGGCTAAATAGAAGTAGAAATAGAATATTTAGCTGACCTTTGACTTTGTGCAAGGTGTTTGATATTCAAATTGTACTTTTGCTACCTCATGAACAGGAATCGTTTTATACGTTTCTCATGTCTTTAAATGTATAATAAAACAATTATTGGATTCGGCTTTCGCATGATATCAAGAATTATTCAGACCTCGGTCTATGTGATCCGCCTCAGCTTCGCTTCGGCAGATAACATTGACCTCGGTCTGAATAATTCTTGATATCATGCTCAGCCTCATCCAATAATTGCTTATTATTGTTATGACTGGTAAATTGAAATAAGTAAAATACTTTGTTAATGTTATGTAAAATTTCAATTTTCCATGGCTTTCCATGACTAAAATTGATTCTCCAGATTTCCAGGCTTGGATTTTGGAATATTGAAATTCCATGACTTTCCAGGTTTTCCAGGACCCGTACGAACCCTGATTAATAGTGGCAATTCATCGGTCAATAATTGGTTATTTTGATTTAATTATCTGCATTATGTGATCAGGAATAATCAGCGTCTGCCTGCCAGTTATTTTAGCAGTGACTTGAAAAGCAGATTTGAAAGAGAATTTGTGGATTTTGAAAATCCCTTGGGATTTTTATGGGGTTTTTCGGGATATTTGTTCGGGATTTGTTGGGATTTTTAGAATTTTATTTCATATGGATTTTTAAGGATTTTGAGGAATCTATTAGAAATTTTCAAAGATTATTTATTGTTGAATAGTTTTTTTGTTGAATTCACACGCCGAAACTGCATGAAATAATTCCAGCACGAATTCCCGTATGCAGCTACGAATTCATGCATATACTGTAGTCTCCATGTAATATTTTGTTACATTACCCTCGCTCCTTTAGCTCCAAGACTTCCACGTGGTCCTTGCAGACCTTGATCACCCTACAAAACAATGAAAGTATATTCATATGTGTTCCACAAAATACTTCTGTCAAAGTGTGCCAAAACATGGGAGGTCAAATGAAAAACACAAGCCCAAGGCGAGTGGTTCTAAATGCTATACATCCCACACGCGCTATCATACCTATCAAATATATACGGATTCAGAGAAAAATCAAATGAAATAATGTTAAGACGAAATCTCTATCAAACCATGGGTGTCAGAATGTCAGATATTGGGATCACGGTAACCGCGCTACCTGCAAGTGGCATCAACTAACTGCAAACCTGGGTCAGAAGTAGAATTTTTCCCAGTATCTTTTCGCAATTTTTACACTCACAGTGCTCAGATTTAATAGATGTCGTATTTCAAGACGCCGATTTCAGAAATTATGCCATTTGTATTATACCTTGGCTCCGGCAGGTCCAGTACGTCCCATCACACCAGCGAAACCTGGATCGCCCTATAAAAAAACAATAATTATATATTAGTTGATAAACCATATTATTATATATTCAAAGTCTAATGTCGTTCGTGATTCAAAGTCTATTCGCGTCGGATAATTCTCGGTATCTTGAAGACGTCGCGTTATTTCAGCTGCTGACGCCTTCAGCGTGCAATATTTTTTGACGGAAGTTCGGTCGGTTATCAAGCTCCGGCGCGATCCATTGTTCAGCTGCTGATGCCATCAGCGTGCAATAATACTTTTTTTGGACCGAAGTTCGGTCAGTATTATTGCATGCTGTGGTTACCAAGCTCCGGCACGGTCCATTGTTTGCTAAAAAGCGCGCGAAAATTCCATATAAAATATAATAAAACAATTATTGAATTCGGTTTTCCTATGATATCGAGAATTATCAAGGCCTCGGTTTGTGTTAACCTCGGCCTTCGGCTTCGGAGGATAACACAAACCTCGGCCTTGATAATTCCCAATATCATATTCAACCTCATTCAATAATTATTATATGGCTTTTCAAAATTCTCTATTCTGATTGGTTGACAAGCGGTCCGTAAAAACCCATATCCGGACGGTGGTCCGTATTTTCCGTATCTGGACCAGTGTCCCGGATGTCGTTTATCTGGCGGGAAATTTTTGCTTTGCAAACAGAAAAAATTTTTGCTTTTTAAATTTCCAATTGTGTGTCATTAAAATTTACAGATAAAAATTTCAAACAACCAAATTGTTTTTGATTGAGCATGCATGCCTACTGTATATTGTTACCCAGTGAAACTGACGATAGCCGATTTAATTCGCGCGAAAAGCATATGCTCACAGACTCAGTTCAGCCATATAATAAACCGATTATTGACCTCGCTTGTTTGGTCTGTACTGTGAAATGTCAGACCTCTGTTTTTTGCATGGACCTCGCTCCTTCGTCGCTCGGTCCATACTAAAAAACCTCGGTCTGATATTTCACAGTACAGACCTCACGCTCGGTCAATAAGCCATTAATATCTGTTAAATAAATTACAGCTCCACTTACTTTAGATCCCGGTTGACCTGCTGCACCTTGACGTCCTGTTCTTCCTGGAGGGCCCTAAAAATTTTTCAAGTATAGTGTAAGTTTATCTTCATGGCAAGAAATGGTGATAGTTGTGGATTGGAGGGGAGGTAGGCAGTTGCGATATTGAAAAAAATCGATATCGAAAAAATATATCGATAATATCGACTATATCGAATTGTGCAAATGAGAAAACGTAATTTAGTCAACTTTTTTTTCTTTTCTTTTTTCTTTTTTCTTTTTTTTTCTTTTTTTTTTCATGTATACGCATCACAAACAGTTAAAAAGAAGCGCATGAAACCAGTCATGGTACGTCTCAAAGATTTATTAACAACGGTTTATCCGTTTATAAAAGTTTAAAGATATATAACAAAATATAATAAGCTTAAAATATATAATATGTTTATAAAATTTCAAGCGTTCAATGCCACTGCTTGGTGATCTTTTGTGGTCACAGCTTTCAATTGCCCACGCACTTGTATCATAAATTCGCAATTGCCGCCATACGCACGTTGTCTAAACTTCACCGGTGAAAACAAAAATTGCCGAATAATCGGAGATTAAGTTGTTTAGTTACAACTTTCCATATTTTCGATATGCGAAAAATCGAATATACAATATTGATATTTTTGAAATATTGATATTTATCGAAAATATCGATATATCGCAACTGCCTAAGGGGAGGGATTAGTTTTTACATAATACTCGAGAACCAAGGACCTGAGGTGAATTGAGAGAAATTTTGCTCTTCCTGAAACAGTTGTGATCCTAAAGAATAAAGGCCCATTTGGACTCAAGAAAATTTTCCACGGACAGAAAGTTTCCGAAAATATCATTTTTAAAAATTGAAAATTTTCAACTTCAAAATTTTTCAAAATTCCCAGTTTCAAGCCTCCCTTGATAAAGTGGTTAGATCTGTAGCAAAAAATATTAAAAATCACTTACAGATGACCCAGAAATACCAGGATCTCCTTGTGCTCCAGGTGGGCCAGATTGACCCTAACAAGCATAGAAATAGAACACAATTAGAATGTATGTATGTAATGTATGTAAAACTTTATTTCAATACGCTAACTTCGACAATTATTTACAACTGGTTTCCACGAAGGGCGTATACACACAAAGAGCTAAATGTTAATTATATATAGAACAAAATATGTAAGAATCCCACCCTAAAATATTATCATCTTCCTCCCAAACCTCCACCCCCTAAACAAGTACCCACCCACCCTCACGCAAAACTAACCCCCCTCCCGCCCACAATCTATATTGTCCTCCCATCATTTGGTCCTGGAGAAATTAGCTTATCATCTGCTTAAATGCAATTTCGCCATTGTTTTAAATGACGTAATTGACTCAGCCGCCTTGACATCTTGCGGCAGACTATTCCATAGAATTGCTCCACTGTATCCAAATGTTTTCTTTAGAAATTCCGTTTTCGGTTTTTTTAACGAGAGATCAGTTTCGCTATTGCGTAAATCATAAATATTCTGCGATGCATTTCTCCGAGAAAAAAGATCTTTAAGGTTTGGCGCAGTGTGGTTCCCCAAGACTTTATACATCAATACTAGCTTGTTTTGTTCTCGTCTCCTAGCCAGGGTTTCCCAGCCTAATTTGTTTAGGACTTCAGACGATCTTACATCGTAGTCAGCTCCGGTAATCACCCTTGCTGCTCGATTTTGGAATTTTTGCAATTTGTCTTGAAGTCCCAAACCACAGTTATCCCACAGGGAGAACAGTAATCAAAATGAGGCTGAATTAATGTTTTGTAGACATCATGTAAGGTTTTGTGTGGAACATAAGGTTTTATTCTTTTAATTGCTCCTATTCCAGCGCTAATCTTATGGCATACAGAATCAATATGTTTCTCCCAACTTAATTTTTCATCTAGATTTACACCTAGACATTTAAATGTATTGGTTTGTGGGACTGGGATTTTGTTAATCTCAACGGCTCTATTTCCTATTTTATGATTTAGATTATGCGTAGATCCAATAAACATGACTTTTGTTTTTTCCTATGATATTTTAGTTTGTTTTTAGCAAGCCATTTATGAATACTGGAAAGGTCCATATTCAAATTGTCAATCAATGTATCGTAATCATGCGAAGAGGAAGATATCTGAGTGTCGTCGGCATAAAGACATGGGGTTGTCCTTTCTAGAATATCAGGCATATCATTAATATATAGCAAAAACAATAATGGACCAAGTATGGATCCTTGCGGAATTCCGCATATTATTGTTCTTGCAGAAGAAGTTTGATCATTAACAGAACACACTTGCTTTCTATTCCTTAAGTATGATTGGAACCATTTTAATTCAATGTCGTGAATTCCAAACTGGGTTTTAAGCTTCTCCAATAATATCTCGTGATTCACCGAGTCAAATGCTTTACATATATCAAGAAAAACAACTCCATTTATTTTGCCTTCATCCATGTCTTGTAGCCATTGATCACACATTTGTATAAGAGCACCTAAGGTTCCATGTTTTGGTCTAAACCCGGATTGAAATTTAGACAGAAGCGCATGTTTATTCAAAAAGCTATATATTTGAGTAAAAACTTCCCCTTCAAATATTTTACTTATTATGGGAAGAATTGAAATTGGTCTATAATTTTCGCATTTACGCTTATCCTCAGATTTGTAAATTGGTATAACTCTAGCCAATTTCCACTCATCTATATAAATACCAGTTCTAATCGATAGGTTAAATATAAAAGTTATAGATGGAGCAATAAGGGTTGATGTCAGTTTTAAAATATTCGCAGGTATTCCATCCATACCTGTCGCTTTTGAGACATTTAGGTTTTGTAGGCGTTTGGAAACACTATCTATAGTAATATCTGCGAAGTGAAAATTTTCTTTAGGAAGAAGCACAGTACTTTCATAAATTACTTGATCATTTAAAGCATCAGTGCTTTGACATGCTGATTCAGCAGCCATCTTCATTCAAATATTTATAAAATATTCATTTAATGTTTCAGTAATAGATTTATCATCAGAAATAATATCATCATTTACTTTCAGTTCATTAATATTTGCATTCTTATGCTTTCTTCCTAAGAGCGAATTTATCCAAGCCCATCCACTTTTACTGTCTCCCATTTGAGAGCTTGCCTG